TGACCCCTTGTTGGCAGCAGATGCACGTGGTGCGACCGAATCCTCGGCCGCCGCTGCTGACTCGTCGAGGCTCAGGGGTTCGATGGGAGCCGGGGTAGTGGCTGTGCTCTTCTTGTCGACGTGTGTAACACCCAATTCAGGAGATCTCGTCCACTGCGCGGCGCGGCTCATTCTGATTTCTCGCAACGTGCTCTCGGGAAGCATCTCGTCGGCCTCGAGGCGGTGGAAAATGCGAATTGTGAACAGGTCTTTGGCGCTTTCTGTCAGTTGCCACATGGAAGACTGCCGTCTCGCTGGCTGTACCGGCCTTCTTCGGGCCTTCTTGGATTTTGCTCGCTTTGGCCGCGAGGTAGATGGCAGCCGAGCTGGTGTCGGCGATGGAGGAGTTTTGGCTGTTGCCTTGATGGGCGACTTGACCGATCTGACCGACTTTGTCGACCTCAGTGAATTCGATCCTTGACTCCGCCTCTGTGATTTCCTGCGAGCCATTGCTGGCGACATGGGAGTTGATTGCCTCGGTTTGGCGAATTTTGCCAATTGAGCGTCCGTAAGCTTTGCATCGCTGAACGATTGCTGCGGCTTGAATGCCTGCTCTGTCTCATGGAGGAGCTGCATGACGTCCTTGGAAAACAGCTTCGGTGTGTCCATTTGTGATGACGGTGTTCCTGATGGCCCGGCGTCGAGGACTGACCTGGGGGCCGTCTCGTTGCTGGCCTTCGCCGCAACATCGGCCGGTATTGAAGGCGATTCGGGAAACATTTCGGCTTGTTGAGGTGGTGATGAGGGCGGTGTCAACTGGGGATAGTCCCGAAACGAGTGCGAACATGTTGGGCTTCTTCCGCGTCGTCGTGGCGAATCGTCCAATTGCTGGGGTGAAAGCAGCGGGCTTCTCTGGGGGCTTCTTTGAGGACTTCTTTGAGGGCTGCCATGAGGACTCGCCAGGGGACTCCGCGTCGGCCGGCGAGGAGGCGAGCAACGTGAGCCCACATGTTCCGTGCCATTGTCGTAATTGCACAAAGAACTTGTTGACGACTGTGGCGTGTCTGGTAATGGTGGAATTCCAATGATGTTGTGAAGGTCCTCACTCCGTCTGATATCGATGCTCGGTTTCGACCTCTTCATCAAGCCCTTTGGTGGCATCCATGTCTTGATCCTGCTGAGGGTGTCCATCTCCTCGTCGTCGTGGTTGAAATAGGAGCCTTCAATGTCCTCGCCGTCTTCGGCCTTCTTCTGGGTTATCAGTTTCCTGATCTTGAAAGGGGACCGGGGCAACATGTTGATCTGGCAGTCCGGGCCACTGCAGCGTAGCGACTAAAACGGGGGAAAGGGGAGGGAGGAGACGATGCCCGTTGCGTGGTACATGACATGCATATATGAAAGGAGTAAGTGGTGGAGGGAAACGGAATTTCTGGCTCACCACATCTCACTCTGGTCTTGACAGGTAGGTCCAACAGTGCAGCGACCTAGGCCAGAGGAATGAGAGGGAGAAAACAGGCCAGAATCGGGGCGAGAAGGCCGAGGGGGCGGGCTCATGAAGAGGGTATGGACAGTGTAATAGACCGAAGCGGCGCATGCTGCCACCACTCTCCACCTGCCCCCCCTCGCTCGACCAGTCGAGTCCACGACGAACACACCCGGCGGCGGGTACGCCTCGCCTGGACGACCGGGACAATGTGAAAGTACGTACAGTCCTGGGAGTCCTGTGGGTGGTACTCAAACTCTTGCGCCTAGTGTGGCGTTGACCACCACCAACCTGCAAAGACGTGAACAGAGTGCAGGCCGGACTGGGGTATCCCCCGGCTCGCCAAGAGGGCTGGTTGGACCTGGGGAGTATGAACATCACCAACCCCGGCCCTGTCCGGTATCGACTTGCGAGTTCTTATTTTACACTGCCGCAATTGGCCAACTGTGTCGTACACGGTGACGTAGAGAAGAGAGTGGGTTACAAGATGGCATCCTCGGGAGATCAGCAGGCTCCCATTTTCAACATGAAAGGTAGCATCGATCTTGGAGCTTTTCCAGTTCCCTATGCTCAGCTCCGACTCCGAGCATACCACTAGTGGGAGCAACCCGATCGTACCACAGACGGAAAGCTGCAGCAGGATGGACCTTTGCTGCGAGGTAGGTGATAGTACTGGATCGGAGTTGGCCATAGCAATGAAGTAGGCACCCGCTCAATATTGAAAGGGCCCAGCGATTCGAGACAATGAGTTTCAAGTCTCAACTCTTTCTTTGCTCCGATGGACGATGATCGTTGTGGCCAGTAGAAAATACAAGGCGGCAGTATGCGGAACAGAACCTAGGAACCAACTCGGCATGCACGGCGGGACGAGATCGTAGGCTGCTCCTGCAGGCCTACCTGGAAGTTGGCCCAAAAAGATCCAGCTCTGATACTGAAACGCTGACGATGGCCATGAGACGACCGATATCTTTCCACCTTCAGTCTGCGTTGAAGTAAAGACCGAGCATAGTCACTTTCTGGCACTGTTGGCCTCCTCAACAACAGAGAGAGGAGAAGTAATTGGGGGCGCCTAAAGTGAGCTCGATTGCATGTGTAAGCGGAGAAAGGGCGCAGCAAAGATAGAAACCGCAATTGGAATTCCGCTTCTCTGTGTATCATCGCCCAGCTCGAGGCACCAACGGTAAGGTAACTTGCTTAAACGTCCTATCAAATGAAAGTCAGTTGCTGTTTGTCAATGGAGAGGATTGTGACAACTGTGGAAGCTGTCCCGTCTTCATCATGGATGAAGTTGAAGGAATCTCGCCGGTCCCTCGATGGCCGGCGGGAAAGGTGTTGTGAGCTGCACGCAATCCAAACCCCGCGTGGTCGAGGCAGTGTGAGATCTGATAACAGGGCAGGCGCACACTGTGACCTCAATGGGTGAATCCTCCACCATCACCTCGGTCCAAATTGCCGTGGTAACACCGAACTTCAGCGACTGAGCCTCGACCAGCCTCCCTATTTCCGCACTGTGCTCACCCCACTTTCGACAGACAGAGCAGGTGGATGAGGTGGGAGGAGCTGAAGATGTTGCTGAGTGAGACGCTGATAACCTCCTGAGAAGAAGAAGAAGAATGAAATTTCCATTTGATTGTGTGAGAGCAAACTGCATTATATGACTGCAAACTCCATTTAGTGTAGAAATTGAATATTGATGCTTGGTGGTGACAAACATTCCAAAAGGGAAAGCAAATATCACAGCGAACCCTCCCCCTCCCCCGCCCCCGCGCACTACAGTCTGGGTACTCAGGCAAGGCCTGGGGAGAGCACTGCGAGCCCTGGTCTCGCGAGAGCCACTGCAAACTCTACCGGGCGAAGGATTTCATGTCCTCTCCGCTGCAGTGACAATGTCTGCGAACGGCGAGGCAACATTTTTTCAAAGAGCAGAACCTGAAGCCAACCATGACCTTCACGTGGTGAGGTGCCCTGCCAAGGCGGCACAATTCCACAGGCCACCAATTTAGCGCCCTCGTACAAAAGTGTTAGTGCTCACATGCAATCGACAGTGACAAGTCCAACATCATCTCCGAGCATCGCCAGAAGCAGCCCCCATGGCGATTATCTCCAGAGCGCACACTGATCATTTTGCCGATATCTTTACGTTGAGATCCTTCTGTCGAGGATGACCCGACCGAGGCTGACCCGTTCATCTGCGAGGTTCCAATATTCCTCCTCCACGGACGAACACCACATAGCTAAATCTGATGCATCAGCATCAGACTAAAGGTCACCGCCAAAAGCACGGCATTGAAACGGAAATGGCTTTCTCTCTGTATCTCGGAGTCCATCTACTCCTCCAGGCAACGAGTAAAAGAACCCGTCTTCGCAGGACAGAACCCTCCCGCATCGCCTGCTGATCGCAGTTCGTCGCCAGGATTGGATAGCCTGCACACCACCGTCGATGCAACTGCCGCGAAGGTGCATGATATACAGCCGCGGCGGGCCAACCAGAGTGTCTATTTTCGAGGGACTCTCCGGATGGCTGAGCCACGCCCCAACACCCGTCTGATCCACCCACTGCTCCCGATCAGGTACAGTAACCTGTCACCAGTTTACTCAGAGTGCCCCGCCTGGCCTACCCAGAGAAGCCCGACACTTGCGCAGGTCCTGCCTGTCAACAATGCACAAGTTCAAGCTTGTTCTCGTGGCAGGATCGCAAAAAGCCTTAACGGCCCGAGTCTAGCTGAGTGTGGAGCGGCATAAAGAGGTCGCCTCTCCTCTTTGCCCTACCTGTGCAAATCCATCCCGCGCTCAACTATTACTCGAGCTCAGAAGAGAGGAGAAATCATTGTCTGCTATACTGGCAGAACACCTCTCTAGACTATCACAGCGTTGGCACCGCTTCTCGTGAGCTGTGTCGATATTGGTTCTCTCGTGTCACTTGGCCATCTGGGAATCAAGTCTCACGGCTTCATGGCAGTGATTGGACAAAGCCCCCGATATGTCCGGGGTAGTGGCAGTTGATCAGGATCTGAGACTTCAATAAAGGAGCAAGTCTCCGTCAATGAGGATCAAAAGAGAGCTCGGACTGAGGCTCTTGCAGCAGGAACCGTCTCTGGCCCTAAGTTCTGACGAGATCCTCTCCACGGCGCACCACGGGCGATGCTGTTTCAGCAAAAGTATCGGGAAACTTCGCCACGGATTACTCAAAACCCTTATTTTGTCTGGACCAGTCCACATTGGCATAGGCATGAGCAGTGCGTAAAAGGTTGGTTGTTTATTGACCGAGCTGAATCTACCCATCCACGGCGTATGGTTCCTGACTCCACGGCTTCCTATCAAAAATCGTTCCATCACTCTGGGAACAACCCAAGACCATTATTGGTCTTCACATGCAACTATGTTTCAAACCATAGATCAGGGCCAAGATGCATGGCCCGGGAGATGTTCCTTCCAGGGGCATGCTCGACCTCCTGCGGCCCATGAAGCTCCACCATAGGTTGTCCAGAGCCTCAGATGGCCAGCCAGTCTCCTCCGGCATTTACATGCGAACAGCAAGTCACATTCGGCGGAATACCATCGTCGATACCCGCAGCCACGCCCGAGATGGCTCTAAGTATAGACGATGAGGGGAGGGGACTGAATAAACGGCGTCGAGGGTCTCTCGCAGGGGCCGGAACCCGCATCTCGACCTCGAAGTCGCGCCTCGGTCCCAATCCCCCGGATACGCCGCCTTCAAACCACACAACCGTGAAACCAACATCCCGCCCCGCTTTCTTTCTCCCTCCCACCCCGAACTCGTCAGCTCTTTGACCAGCTGCGTACTCCACAACTCGACCCACGATTCAACAGTGCTGTGCCGTTCCCGACTGCCCGTTATAGTTGCTGCAACGGCCGCCGATGATGGCCTCCTTTTCTGAAAGTCGTCGTGGCCCGTGTCACGTTCGAAACGTTCTGGCGATGAGGTCCCGACCAGGAAAAGTTTCATCCTCCCTTCTTTGTCGTTCTCTATTCTCCCGAGTTGAGCCGCACTTGTCTTTCCTGATGGGGTGGTGGCGGGGAGTTTTTTGTTGTTGTTGTTGTTGTTGTTGTTGTTGTTGTCGTTGTTGTTGTCGTTGTTGTTGTCGTTGTTGTTGTCGTTGTTGTTGTTGTTGTTGAACGAGAGATGACGAGTGTCATCACCAAATCTCATTTGCTCTCTGGATGTCTCTTGTTGTGGTTGTCTTGAGGAAAGAAGAAGCCGCATGCGTCGGGGTGTGGACGTATTTCTTCTCAGGGGATGGTTCGGGGGTCGCCTTCTTGCTGTCATGCGACCACCACCGACCAACAGACTTGATGAAGCCAAGTGGTGAGCAGCTTGATCTCCTCGACCCTCTTTCCTCGTTGTCGAGGGGGATAACGTGGTAATTCTCGCGAGTCATTTTGGGTGGTACACGATATCGAGGACGGTCTTGGGGAATGTGGAAGACAGTGAAACTGAACGACGACGGGCTTGGTTTATAAGTGATGCTTCAGCCAAGCGTTCTGCTCAGATCAACAAAACTTGTTTTCGTATGAGGTCTATCAGAGACAAGACGGGTCATTCCTGTCGATCCAAGTAGGAAAAGGAAACATCCCGTGGCCAGAGAAGGGCCGCTGCCTGTCACCTATATATCTCAAGGGAGGCTCTTTCCTCACACCTCAACAAGCCCGCGGGGCAAGCGTCTACCAACCTCTCAGCACCGCAAAGACTTCCCACCACCACCACACTCCCACACGCAAAAGCACACCATTGGCAAGCTGCGCGGGGAGTCCGTCAAAAGTGATCATGTCACAGAGCCCAAAACCGAGAGAGCGGGCCGGGAAAGCGGGACTTTGTTCGTTGGTGTGTGCGGCATCCCAAAGCCTCGTCCGACCTCCCGAGGAACGGCCCACGAGTGGTCAAGATCGTCGGCTTCCGAGACTTTCAATGTCCAGGCGCGGTCTGTGAGCTGGCGTGCGTTGTCTTGCAGTGAGAGGCCACGCACGGGTCACCGCCATGGATGACTATCGCAATTCATTGATTCCGCATGCCGCTGGGACAGTGTCATTCCGAAGCCCATATCCAAAGCTTTTACTTCTGGTGCCTGAGTTTTGATACTACAAAACACATCTGCCCAGAAAACCACAACCCACACTGTCGGTAACACCACCTGCACAGAACTATCTGCCGTAACACGATAGAAGAATAAGAAGGTGGGCAAGCAAACGGGTTCGAGGCAACCAAGTGAGACAAATGATTGTCCAAAGGTGGTGTGCTACTCTCCAACATAATTCGTCAGTCAGACACCCATCTAGCGTCTTGTGGCGCCCTTTTGGAAGTTCTTCGATTTTGGGGAATCTCAGCCCAGTCGATGCCGGACTAGAACCTTCAAAAAGTCGGCTTCGAAAGATATTGTAAGCCGCATTTCCTTTTTGAGAAGGGCCAGAGGTTGTAACTCGGCCATGATCGGGCCCGTCTGGTTGGGTTATCCGTGATGATTGGGTCGATTGGGGCAGTCAGCATAGCTTTGGACTATGCACATTGGGCATTTTCCCCCAGCTGAGCGGCATTTGTTTTCTGAGCCTGACGATGGTTTGTCAGAGCTTGGCATTTACCTCGCTCTGAGCCCACTTTGCTTGGCCAAAGGGAGAGGATTGGTGAGGATTCAGAATCAATTCTCAGTAAGAACTAGGACATGTTACCCAACTCACTGTTTTGTGAAAGTCGGCCAGACAGGTTAGGAAGCTGAAGGCTTCAAAGCTAACATATATGCAAGTTCGTCACGAGATGATAGGTGAGTGGTATAGATTTTGGGCCGCCACATTTTTTGGGGTCTTCTCTGCTGCATGTAGACCACCTACCTTACCCGACGACACCGACAGTTCGGCTGCCGGACCTGCGAGGCTTACACCTTCCCTTACCTCCCCACCAATACCGACCGAGATGCCGGACCTACCGAGCTACCGGGGCGAAATACCATTCATTCCAGTTGAGACTTGCCTACTGCAGTGATAAGGTCGGAACTCAGATCACACTGGTAGCCACTTTGTTCACCCACCCCCACGTGCCGCAGTGATCGGGGATGGTATTTGATGCCTGGGTTCAGTTTCATCTCCGAATTTGCGAGGAATATCGGATGGATGATATCTTGAGCCCGAAAAACTACTCTTTCTTGTCCATGTCACCGGTTGCCATTTCCAGAAAGCGATCTGATGAATACCTCTATGCCGAGATGAACTGGGAATCGGATATCAGTTGGGTGGTGCCTGTTCCATCACCCGAGCAGGGCATGCCGGGGTTAAGCACACATCAAAAGGGAGGATGCATAACACAGAATGATCGTGTTGGCTCTTTGTTGTGTTACTTGGCCATTCGGAAGTTGTGTGTGAAAAAGAGAGATTTGAAACATTTTGCTCAGCCGCCTTCAACACTGATTGCTGTTGTTGTTCTTGTTGCACAGATCTATCTTGCAGGAACCAGGTCTCAAACAAAAGTGCTCGAAAGGGGACCTGTGTCTGCAGACCATGAAAAAAAACTGCTCTGCTAAGCCCTGCTGCCCCGGAGTCGAGATAACTTTCTTTTTTGTTGTGCGGCTTGGACTGTGAAACTAAGGGTTTGTTGAGAATCATATGGCCTTGTTCAGTGATCGGTCAAAATTCAGGAATAAGTTCAACAAACTTGGGAGATTTATCCGTGTCCCATCCGGCCAGAATTTAACACGCAACTGCAAGATAGACTTTTCGCTCCCCGTCCTGTTTCGTTGGACGATGCTATCCTTCCCGGCCTGTTGGGTCGTTGGCTCAACCCCAGAGCCCCAAAACCAAATTCCCACCTAACCTGGTTTACCACACAAGGTCACGGTCATGTTAAACCAAATGGCAGGCTGTGTTCCGAATGGTAGCTACCATAAAATTCATTCCGACTGTTGCTCGGTTCCGGTAGGTATCCCACTGACGACGCTCATGCGTGTGAGATAAACCCTGTAATGCTTTGTGCGTCAATGTTGGTTATGTGAAATGCACCAACAACAACTACAACAACTACAACAACAACAACCATTTTATTAAAGAGGTTTAAGCGCCCGTTCAAACCGTTCGCTTATTCTTTAAGGTAACCCTCGGTTGTCAACATCGCCGGTCTGGCCCCGGTTCATAAGTCGAGGCTGGCACTGCCCCATGCTCTTGACAGCCTCGTGGCTTTCAAGACTCGATTGGGGATCATCTTTCAAATCAAAGAAAACCGGGGTTGCTTTGAAATCTTATACCCCGTGTAGTCTGCAACTAGTATTATACAATATAATATAGTCTCAGGATAGAAGTATACGTAACTAAAATTTGAAATGGCAAACATCAATTCAGGACTGTCATTAGCATCAATCTAGCCATCATCGCAAAACCCCCTCAAAACACCAACAAAGCCGCGCTCGAATCCTCAACCCCAACCTTCACCCTCCCCATCCCATCAACCTCCACCTCCTCCCCCGTAGTAACATTCCCCATCCTCACCGGCCTCCCCTGATCAAGCTCATAGTTGTAACTCCACCCATCCCAACTAATCCCCGTAACGGCATCACTCCCGTTAGCCCTCAACCTCTGCACTTTGACCTTTTGCCTGTACCCAACCGTCACCCCAACATCAACCCCCGCCCTCTTCCCCAAACCCCCCAGTTGAAAAAAATACTCCACGCTCCCTCTCTTTGGCGGATTGGGAAGTGGAACTAGTCCCTCCCCGTCAACCGTGGTGTTATACCCCCTCATATTAACCACCACAACCCTCGACAAAATTCCACCATGGTAAATCGCATATGCCGCCTCGCGGTGCCAAGTCAACGGAATGCTCACCACCTCCACCTTCTCATGTCTCCCCAGGGCGGCAGCTGTGGCGATATTGCCGTAGTAAGGGGGTTTTGTCCCTATGCTCGTAACGTTCGTCTCTATTGGTTGCCAGGATGCATACTAACCCCGTCAACACACTATTTGCCGCAAGTTATTTGAGAGAGACAAACCCGGTAGTTAGTCCCCTGGTGCATATGCACCCTTTTGAATCCTTTGCTCGCGGCATAGAGGTTAAAGTCTACCACCCAGAGTGCCGCGCCAAAAGTGTTGGATAGCCCTGGGCGGCCTTGGTTGTATAGCGAGTTTGTCTCCCCGAATATGGGCGGTGGAGCGCCCGGATCGAGGGAGACGATCCGGTAGTATTCGGCTGCTTGGGCGTTCACTGACCGGGCGGTGACGGTGTGGTTTAGGAGGGTGGATTGGAGGGTTACGCCTGGGGTTGTGGCGCCCGAGATGTAGCTGGGGGTGTTAGTGGGGAGTAGTGAGTTGATATGGAAAGAAAAAAAGGTAGCTGGACCAGAAACATACTTGTGCGTCGAATACAACCTGACATTCCTGCCATTATTTAAACCAGCTGCCCAGCTCACATGCGCCTTTAGCCTGTTACCAACGCCTCCATGAGAAGGTGCCATATATCCATATTCACTCTCACGAGCAAGGTCAGGGCAGTGTTGCCTTACCAGCGCATGTATCGTCCTCGTTCCGTTCTGCCACTGCCACACATAGGTGCTTTCGTTCCAACTCGGAGGTCGAATTGGGCCTTGGGCAGCGGTTGAAAACAAATCCGGTTCGTTGCCATAACCCCATAGATAGAGTTTCCCGTCACTCAGTGCTTTGCAAGCGAGAGGGACTGTGTCGAGGAGTGTTTGCCACCCCTCTGAAGTATTGGCACCAAGGCCAAGGTTGAAGCCATGAGAGAACTTGACATCCTTCCAGGTGCTGTAGGACTCAAAGTAGGAGGGACCAATGTAGATGGTGGTCGGATAATCGAGAGACCGCTTGGGGTTGAAAGTGCCATTCAGGGCATATGGCAAAGAGGCGTTGTAGAGAGCATAATCCTGAGTGTTGCCTCCTACTCGGATGTACGGCTTCGTGCCGGTCAGGTGTCTGATGTTTTCCAAGAGGTTGTCCGAAAAGGTGTTCGGATGTGAGTTGTTTCCTGCAAAGTCAGGAAAGCTAGAGAACTCGATGCTGAAGCTCACAAAGCCGTCGAGGATCTCATTGGCAGACGTGATGGACGTAGCGACTGGGAATTGACCTTGGACAAGTGAACCTGTCAAAAGAGAAAAGAAGACGGCCTGCTTCATGTTGGAAAACCGCATAATTCAAAAACAGCATCTCCCAGACATTGCGGGCAATTCCCTTCATCTTGAAGCGGACAGCAGCAGCAAAAATACATGAAAACACCCAACACCACACGAGTCCACTAATGTCGTGTGTCAGGCTAAATGGTTCACTTGATCACCACTCTGCACCCTGAATGGATCAAAACCAATTCGGCTTGAGTGATCGACATGGAGGGTGAGTACGGCATAGGCCCCGGAAAATGAGGCCAGACAGGAGTGATCACCAGGTTCCACAAGAATCTCCGCGTGGAATGAACATCTGGCTCGTGCTTCTGGGGGAGGGATCCGGGATTCTGGAGATGTTCCACTTGGAATGTGTCGGTACGGTGAGACGAACGGGGATTGTTCTGGGGAAATAGATCTTTTGCTGGTTAAGGAAGGCAATGCTTGTAAGTGGTCAATTGCAGGGGCCAGCACTCAGCGCGGGCAGTGCGGGGGCAGCATGGGAGGAGTTGGGGAACAGAAACATTGATGAGCGTCTCTGTGAGAGGCAGGTGCAGTCTAGGATCAAACACGATGAGGGTTGACTTGAGATACTTGGCACTAGAGTATCCTTGCCCTGGGAGAAACAACCTCGGCAGCTCTCTGCTTGAGGTATATCGTCGGTATGTTCGGGACATGGTGTTTCTGTGTAGTCTTGGCGGCGGGGTGTTTGATGTCGTCAAGTGTGGGGTAGCTGTCCTTCTGCCATTGTAGCCAAGAAACCTCAAGACGACGAGATATTGCTCTTGGGGTTTTTTCCTAGCTGGTGATCATAGTCAAAGCCCCTTCAAGAAACTCACGACTTCCTCTTTGGGGTTGTTTGAAGTCAAGACAAGCTCAGGGCCGATGTTAGGCGCCGAGGCATTCTCCACTGCATCCGGGGCATGCGGAGGTCGTCTGATTGTCATGCAACGCTCTCGACGTCATTGATCAATGGGGAATCTAGAATGCCCAAAAGAGACAGCTTCACCACTTTCTTAGTGACTGTATGTAGAAACTAAGGTAAGTTTCAACCCATAGCGGAGCCGTAGATAGCCAGCTTGTCCCGAGGCGCATCCGCACTCGCAACCAAGTCTCCATCCACTCAAGCGTCATCCATCCCTATCGCTTCTGCATTTCCGGGGCCGACCCTTTAGGTCCTCTTTTCATTCTTGTGCATTCTCCTCTGCACGACACACACCATCATCTCAAAATGCTCTTTCAAAAAGCTCTTACTTCCACAGCCCGCATCGCAACCCGCTCTCATCAGTTCCGGTCACCTCTCACCTCCTTCTCACGTCTCTCATCCACAATGGCTCCTAAGGTGAGTGTACCTCGGCTCGCATATCACTTCACCCTCTGACACATCCCAGCTTCGAGACCCCTCCCTCTTCAAACAAAACGTCTGCTATGTCAACGGGGAATGGATCCCCGCCAAATCCGGCAAAACCTTTGAAGTCCACGACCCAGCCACAGAGCAACTAATCGGCACCTGCCCCGAATTCACCGCAGAGGACACCCGCCTCGCCATCTCCCACGCCGAAACCGCGTTCGAGTCCTTCCGGCACAAGACCGGCCGTGAGCGCTCCAAGCTCCTCCGCAAGTGGTACGACCTCGTCGTCGAAAACGCCGACGACCTCGCCACCCTCATCACCTGGGAGAACGGCAAGCCTACGGCCGATGCCAAAGGCGAAGTAACCTACGCGGCCAATTTCTTTGAATGGTTCAGTGAGGAGGCCCCCCGTATTTACGGGGATACCATCCCTTCCTCCATCCCAGGAAACCGCGTCATCACCATCAAAGAACCGGTTGGCGTCTGCGGGCTGATAACACCATGGAACTTCCCCGCGGCTATGATCACCCGTAAAATCGGCCCTGCTCTGGCAGTGGGTTGTTCAGTGGTGGTGAAAGCCCCCGGTGAGACCCCCTTCACCCCACTGGCCCTCGCCGAGCTCGCCCACCGCGCCGGTGTGCCCCCAGGAGTGGTAAACGTCGTCACGGCGAGCGAAAACACCCCCGAAGTCGGCAAGGAACTCACCACCAACCCTACCGTCCGCAAAATCTCCTTCACCGGCTCGACCCCGGTGGGCAAGCTGCTCATGAAGCAATGTTCGACTACTCTCAAAAAACTCTCCCTCGAACTAGGGGGTAATGCCCCCTTTATCGTCTTTGACGACGCTGATGTTGACCTTGCGGTTGCGGGGGCGATTGCCTCTAAATTCCGCTCTTCAGGACAGACGTGTGTCTGCGCCAACCGGATCTTTGTTCAGAGGGGGGTGTATGACGAGTTTGCCTCGAAATTCGCCGCCAAGGTCAAGGAGTTCAAGGTTGGTAACGGGTTCGAAAATGGCACCACGCATGGCCCCCTGATCCACCACAAGGCCATCTCCAAGGTGGAGGAACACGTCCGGGACGCGGAGAAGAAGGGCGCCAAGGTTTTGCTTGGAGGAAACAAACTCCCGGATTTGGGACCTAACTTTTACGAGCCGACGGTGATTTCGGGGATGAAGGTTGATATGGCCATGGCATCGGAGGAAACGTTTGGGCCGGTGGCGGGGCTGTTCCCGTTTGACACCGAGGAGGAGGTGGTCAGGATTGCAAACAACACCACCGTTGGGTTGGCGGGGTATTTCTTCTCGAGGGATCTGGAGAGGGTTCACCGGGTGGCGGAGCATTTGGAGGTTGGGATGGTGGGGGTGAACACGGGGTTGATTTCTGATCCGGCGAGCCCGTTTGGAGGAGTGAAAGAGAGCGGGTTTGGGAGGGAGGGGAGTTTGTATGGAATTGGGGAGTATCAAGTCACGAAGATGGTGACGTATGGGGGGATGGGGAAGAAGTTGCAGTCGTGAGGGGGGGGGAGACTATGAGATGTGAAAAGTTTTGAGCTTACCCGGCGGGAGCAAAATGAGAATGTTGTCATGTTTACTTCCGATGTCATGATTGATTGTTCATGGCCTTTTTGTATTTTGAGCACTATCACTCATACCCTGACCTAGTTCTCTGTCCCTCAAGATCAAGAAAGAAACGAACGGACCCTGCCCAGTGTCTCCCTTCCACCTCAACCAGAGACAAGAAAGAATTAGAAATGTGATAAAAACACTGTGTCGACGACATAAAAAAAAAAGAGAGGACTGCTTTTTCTCGCAGGGGTATTCTCCTCCTTTCCTCACATAAAAATATCATACACTTCCCCCTTTTCCTTCCCCTCACCGATACGTATCAACCCTCAAAGGCAACTTCCGATCCAGGGTATGGAAAGCCTGCGTCCTCGGCGTAAAAGGCGCGGGGTTATGCGTGAACCCACCACCACTGCTACTCCCCCCCGCAGCACCACTCATTTGTTGATGTTGTTGTTGTTGCAACTGTTGTTGATAATGCCCATAATACCCCCCACCCCCACTCCCCCCCTCCTCAGGACTAACCGGCGTGGTCATCTCCACGCTGACCCCCTTGTCCTTTTGCGCCGAGTTATAGCCGTATTCCTCCTCGTCGTCGCTGTCGTCCATCATGTCGAGCATTTTGTTGGGCCACATGGCCCAGATGGCGAAGCTAGTCTGGATGACGTATACCGCGCTATATATATCGCTGTTAGTTTTTTGATTGTGATGGGGGAAAGATAGGGGGAGACAAACAGCATGTACACCGTCACGGCAAACGCCCCCTTGGACATTTGGCAACTCTTGACGGCATTGTACGGGATGGCGAGGTCGCACGATTTGCGGATGTACCACGGTGTCCAGCTCGGGTATCTCGGGTCGGCGTAGTCTGGTCCGGCCTGTCCGTACACGCTGACGGCGTAGAGCGCGGTGAGGGAGACGCCGACTGCGGTGCCGATGATGGGGTAGAAAATTTTCATGATGGCGGCGATCATCTTGGCGAGGAGGATGAAGAGGGAGACGATAGTGATGGCCACGTTGAAGGTTGTTAGTCTGGCATAGAGGTTAGCATGTGAAAGTATGATCCTGGGGCGGATGAAAGAAAGACATACGTTTGCGACCAGACAAACGGAATGGTCGGGAGCGGTCTATGGTTGGCATAGGCATACAGAATCATCGTCGGGCTCGAGTTGAGCTTGTAGTCGGAGCCGATGCGCCAGAAGAGCGTCCTCCAGGCATCCGGTTGCTGAACACCAAACAAAACAAGAAGAGGAATGATGCCGGCGAGCTCGGGAACCATGCCCCAATACAGAGGCCGCTTTGCTCGCCATGGGCGGTGGAGAATTCGGTAGCCCATTGTGAATCGTCTTGGTGTTGAGACTTTTTAACCCGAGGCTCGGCGCCGTCGACTTGAATATATATATGTCGATGTCGTCCCACTTCCAAACAAAAAACCCAGCAAAATCGCCGGCTCGTGAGGCTACCTCACATCGATCTCCCGTCGCAATCGCAGTCGATCCCCCGGTGAGACACACACACTGCCCGCCAAAACCCACGTCTTCAATTGGCGATCGCAAAGAGTGTCGCAAAGGTCGCCTTGGGGTTCACAAATCGCACATCACGGGGGGGAGCAGAAATAAGAGGCGGGGAAAAGAGACAGGCGAACCGTGATTGTATATTAAAAGCTGCAATTCCCATCGCATTTTCGGGGTCTCTGGAAGCAACCAACCAGCCGTCCATCCCCCTCTCTTGTGTGTCCATGCCGTGCTGTGCTGCCGCCCAGACCAGAGGCGATAGCCTGAAAAGATGCAGCTGGTCGGTCAATCACAGCTTGACGATCCAATGAGAGACCCGAGCAAGCGTCGTTGCGGCGTTGCTGTAAGCGCCCAGTTGTCGGACCCCTCGCCCAATCACAGCGGCGTCTCGCGGTGAACAGCAGGGCTGCTGCCGGGATGCTGCCGGGCTGCGAGGGGTGACGTGAACATTGTTCGGCAGCTGGGAGAATAGCTTGGTGTCACCCACCAAGCACTGCTTCGCCAGAGAGACTCACCTCATGGTTGAACAGGTGAGTGAGATTGTCAGTGAGTGATAAGAGTGCGAAGCCCTCCCGAGTTTGTGGATGTGCCGTGTCATTTTTGGCGGGCGCATGGCGTGCCCAGCTCTGGTTGGCCAGAACATCGAAACAGTTCTTCCTCGTGGTGTGTTCATTTGTGTGCCCACCACAGGCGCGCGCCGGGCATTGTCGCATCCAAGTTCTCATCACCCATCATCACCATCACCCGTCACCCGAAAGCCTGCCCTCCGCGGCATGTCGGTCGCCGTTGCTGCCGTGCTGCCGTGCTGCCGTTGAGCAGCTGAGCGGACGGGAGGCGGCGCCAACGGAACTTGCCAGTGGGTGCCGGTGCGGTCTCAGCGTCCGTGCGTTCGGGCACCCCTCCTGGCTTCTTGATTGGTCGGCATCGTGAACTGTGCTGCACTCAATCTATTGACAGTGTGCTCCTGTCGTGAGTGTTTTCCAAATATGTCTCAATATTCCAAGGTACATTTGGAACCCTGAGGAAGAAATCCATGTAAACTCTTCAATGCTGTAGGTAAACGATTTGTGGATGGCCGGAAAAGCTGCAATGTGGATTTTCAGCTTCAGCTCGGAATTAGCTCCGTAGCGCGAATGCGAAACCTCCACACTGCTGTGAGGCACCGTTACGTATTACGGATACCAAACTCCGATCGAGATTCCGAAAGGCCGGGGCTGGCCTCGGCAGAAACGGAGGTCTGCACCTTTTGTTTTCGGACCGGCCTTTTTTGTTGCTCAGATCGAGATAATGCACAACATCGGGTTAGTTTGCGATTACGGCCGCGTCTTGGACAAATGCCACGGGCGGGCGGTCTGGAGGGGTAGCATTACATTGGAAAAACCTCACGCCCCCCACTAAAGAAATCAGTTATACAAGCGAGTGGCAGACATTGCAAAAACTGTCAAATGCCACGACACGACGAAAACAAGAGAATCTGGGCGACTGTGAGGGATCGAGGAGATGGGATTTTAAAATGCCGCTCTCACCCTTCATGGGAATTTGGCTGGCTCCTCCTCCTGCCAGCAGCATCAGGCCATTTCCTCACACGGAAGACATGCTGCTTGGCTTGTGATGGGTTGACTCGTAATCTCAGAGGGAGCCAAGCGGAAGGGCGGGAATAGGCCCTTCTGGAACATGAGATCGGCACCGGCGCTCACCGGAGCCCGTACGGCGTTACATAAGCGGGGGGCCGGGCTGTCGTTTGAGTATTGGGTTGAGGAGGGCATACAACATACCCGTTGTAGAGGGCTCAGCTCACGATGCCGGCTGCCAATGGATGGTAATGGAGTCTCGGCAGAAGGATGAGGGTTGCGATGGCAGGCAGAGATCCCGATTGCACTCCATGTGTTCGGCAGGAACGGCCAGCGCACGGAGTAGGTATCAGCGTATCGGCTGGCTGGCGACGTGAAATACGGCGTAAATTGCAGGGGCCTGTGGTGTTGTTGTAGCACGAACCTAGGGCCAGACCTCGATGGGCCTTTCTACCCCTGCTCCTTCGATCATGCTTTGCTGGGGAAGCTCTCGAAACCTCATCAGTCCACTTTTGACGCACCGTTTTACGGATCCGTACGGGTACAGCAACAGCGACAGCAACAGCAACAGCGGGAGTGAACAAAGGACCAGCTTCCTCACCAACAAGTCTGCTGAAAACGCTGAATCCCCGCGCTACTCATTGGTTCAAGCAGGCCTTCTCAGCCTGTCGGGCTGTCTGTCTCTCCATCAAGCGCACCAGACAGAGGCAGCGTATCCATAGAGAGAGTCCAGGCACGGTTGGGCTCTGTCTGTTATTCTCCAACGTCGCTTTTCCCCACGACACCCAGAGTCCACCGCTCGCCGTGCTTCCCACTCCCCAAAAAGTTACTTTTCTTAGTCAGTCTACCAGTTTCGATTTTCGATTTCGATTTCGATTTCGATTTTCGATTTGCATGACCACCTGCCCGCCCGAGACTTTCCAAAGTGCAAACCCTATCCTATCCTGTGCCCTCTCCTCGTCAAAAATTCCTAGTTTGTCTAGGTTCTAGGTTGCTCACCACCGCGAGATCGCTGCTTGATTCGAGGCACTGCTGAGCGAAGAAAACTCGCCAACGGCAACAAGAAAACACGAATCAACAAAGTATCCAGGGCCAAGCTACCGCATGCGACAGCACATATCAACTCACTTCTCCACTCATTGCTAGGAACACGAGCGTTCGAACGAGTCTTTCATCCCAATAAAACGGTCCAGAACGTCAAAAAGAACAACAGGGAAGGTTCATCCCGTCTTTGGAACAAACAGTCAATGGCCAGCTGCTCGGGAGCGTCTGGTATCTAAAAGGATCAACCCCCGTTTGGTTGTCCGTCTACGGCTTCTGTCGGTCGCGGTTGTAGGTGGCGGAACATTGATAAACTTTCCCGCCGCTCTCTCCTTCGTAGATTGAGGTTGGTGCTGCGTGCGAGCTTGCCCGAGGAAATCGCCCCTTTGGGCTACTGGGGGACTTCTGATATAGACCTGTCGCTCACTTGGGCATGACGGAGAATAGGACCGAGCAGTGTTTTCCTCTTCTCCCCACCACAATCGTTTTGGATTCACAGCAGTCTCCTCCTGTATCTGCTCTCCCGCCAGCGCAGATCCCCCCAGCCGCGACCTCGTCCCGTCGAGACAATCCCGGACCGGTCGACTATTTCTCTTGCCAAGACGACAGCAGCGAGCAGTTTGACGAGACCGGGGCGACCATCGACGAGGTTGTGAGTGAGTGGACGGCATCCTCGAATAGCAGCCGGCATGATTCCGACGTATCAACGCCATTCTCCTTGACCCGATCATTGTTGGGTTTAGGTCCGCAAGTTTCAGCCGATTTTGGATTCTGGTCTCCCTCGTCGGCAGCGTCGTCCGAGCCACCCTCCAGGGCACCGCCAGGCGCCCTGGGAAAGAGGCTATCCGGCGCGGAATATCGCCCAACCCGACCTTTAGGATCTCCTCTGAAGAAGCCGCGCCTCACATCGTTCCCGCCCAACCTGACCGGGAAGCCGCCCACTGCAAATCCCAACCTTTTATCTCCCCTCTTTTTCTCAAACTCGGCGAGGGGGACGAGAATGAACTATCCATCCGGATTTGCAGATCCCGAGGCAGCGGCGTCGATGATGGGAACTCAAGAGGGTCAGGAGGGCTTCACTACTTTGCGTCTTCCCAAGTCAGTTACTACCGCCAGTCCTTCGAGATCGTCGGGCACCCCTGGGAGTTGGTCGTCTGCGGAGCAATCGAACCCGTCACGGAGCCCTGATGGCTGGCCGCCATCTAATATCGCCGGATTACTCCAAGGCATAGGGGTTGTCGAGTTGCTGGAACAAGACGAACGGCCGACGTTTATGATCGACCTCAATGAACCAGCAAATTTCGGCCCTGGACAACTGCGTATAATATATGTCAATGCGGCGCTCAAGGCGTCTACTGAGCTGCTGGAGCGTTTGCAGAACGAGACGTCTGTCGGGGGGCATACTACTGAGTTTTCACACTTCAAATCCTGGGCTCTAACTCTTGTGCCGGACCGGCTTTCGCTCGATGGAAGCACGGTTTCTCCCCCATCGTGGGCGGGGATGAACTGGTCAGCTTCCACCCTCCGACGTCGATTTCGTGTGGTCCGTGGAAACGCCCATCCTTTGGAGTCCAAGACGCCCACGCCGCCCAGCTCCACGAATCAACAGCATCCATGGGCTCAAAGCGGTCCTTGGACTGGCCGTGATGTGTTCGCACCGAGAGAACGGGGTGATTACTTTGGACCCGGTGCCGAGTCCCAATTTCGTTCTTACTCGGAGCCTCGGAGCAGAGCTGGTTCGATTGCCGACACGGTGGTTCAGTCTGTCGACGACATGGCGCTCGTGACGCCGCCCCCGCTCATGTCTGCGCCCCTGCCTCAGCTGCAAACCATCTTTGACTGGACTCGAATACCGCTAGACGACCCAAATCTTGGGCCTCATCATTATTTTGCTCGATCGGTCGATTGGGGGTCAACCTCTTTGGGACCCGTGGAAACGTGGCCTAATGACCTGCGCATCATGTCCAACATGATCATGGGGAGTCCTCACCCTGCGGCGCTGTATTGGGGCCCAGACTTTGTTGCCATCTACAACGAAGCATACATTGCGCTCGCGGGTCAAAAGCACCCTCAGCTCATGGGAAGCCGGTATAAAGACGTTTGGTCGGAGATATGGGACAGCATAGCGCCGGTTTTCGAGGCTGCCTGGAACGACGGGCGGGCAACCATGAAGCACGACGATGGTCTTTTCATCTCTCGCCACGGTTTCCTCGAGGAGACCTTCTTCAACTGGGCCATCATTCCGTTGGTTGGTAGCGACGGCACCGTGGTGGCACTATACAATCCTGCCTTTGAAAACACGCGGCGCAAAGTCAGCGAGCGCAGAATGTTGACGCTGCGAGAGGTCGGTGTCAAGACGTCACAGGCCAGGGATGTGAAGGGATTCTGGAAACAGCTTCAAAAGGGTCTCGAATACAACCCCTATGATGTCCCCTTTGCTCTCATCTACTCGGTCAGTGAAGATAGTGAGAGCGAGGTTGGGTCCATGGCTTCCGGCAACCTCAGCCACCCCCCAGTAATCAACCTGGAAGGCTCGATTGGCGTTCCCGAAGGGCACCCTTGCGCTGTGCCCTCGATAAACTTACGGTCAAGCGATGAAGGATTTGCCCACTACATGCGCGAGTCGATGGCCGATCTAGCCATGCCCGTCATCCTCAGTCTTGAAGACGGCACGTTTCCTGTTGAGCTCATCCAGGGGCTTGACTGGCAGGGCTTTGGAGACCCATGCACCACAATTGTCATCTTTCCAGTTCATCCAACAACGTCGGTGGATGCAGTGGTTGGCTTCATCGTGTTGGGTATCAACCCTCGACGACGCTACGACGACAACTACAAACTCTTTATCAACTTGCTTTCACGCCAACTGGCAACGTCCATGGCGTCTGTGGTCCTGTTCGAGGAAGAGATCAAGCGTGGACAGAGAGCGGCCCGGTTGGCTGCGCTGGACCGCCAGGAACTTTCGATGCAGTTACATCTCCGTACTCAGGAAGCCGTCAAGAGCGAGTATCGCTTCACTAGGATGGCCGAGTTTGGACCAGTCGGTCTGTTCATTGCCGATGGTCAGGGCCAAATAACCTTTGGAAACGAATCGATATACCGGATTTCAGGCAACGAACGGGCCACGAGCGGTCCAGATTCGTGGATGCACAGCATTCGAGACGAGGATAGGCCGGGCGTGGAGGAAGTTTGGCACAAACTTTTGGACGAAAAGGTGGCCGTGACGCATGAGTTCCGATTCCGGGGTTCCAAGCGGCTGATTGACGGTCACTCGGTCGATATTTGGGCATTGATGAGCGCCTACCCCGAAAAAGACGAGTACGGCGAGCTCAAGAGCATTTTTGGTTGCATCACGGACATCTCACAACAAAAATGGGCCGAAGACTTTCAGAAACAGAGGCGAGATGAGGCGGTTGAACTGAAGCGACAGCAAGAAAATTTCATCGATATAACAAGTCATGAGATGCGGAATCCTCTGAGCGCCATCCTTCAATGCGCCGATGAAATATCGTCAAGTCTCAACGAGTTCAAGCACGGGAATGGTCCAGTCGAACAAACTCTGGGTGAATTGACAGTGCTTGTCGAAAGTTGTGTCGAGGCAGCAAACACCATCTCGCTGTGCGCCAGCCACCAGAAACGAATTGTTGACGACATCTTGACGCTTTCGAAACTTGATTCCAATCTGCTGTTGGTTACTCCTGTCGATGTACAGCCTATCATGGTGGTGCAAAATGTGCTCAGGATGTTCGAGGCTGAGCTCCAGTCCAACGACATCACGGGGCAGTTTATTATTGAGGACTCGTACCGTGATCTGGAGGTTGACTGGGTCAAGCTCGACCCGTCCCGCCTTCGCCAGGTGCTTATTAATCTAATGACGAACGCCATCAAATTCACACAAGGACGACCAACTCGCTCGATCGTGATCAAGCTTGGAGCATCAAGGGAGGCGGAGAGAGAAAGCGGGCTCTCCTACATCCCACCAAGGCACCCTGATCAGAGAGATCTTACTGATGAGCCTGATTGGGCTGATGGAGAGAAGATTCACTTGCATCTTGCTGTGACGGACACCGGGCCAGGGCTGGACGACGATGAAAAGAAGATTCTGTTCCAGCGCTTCTCTCAGGCAAGCCCCAGAACACACGTTCAATACGGCGGCTCTGGGCTTGGACTCTTCATCTGCAGGATACTGACCGAGCTGCAAGGCGGGCAAATTGGTGTCTTTTCCGAAAAGGGTGAGGGCAGCACATTTGCCTTTTACATCAAGAGCCGAAAATCCGATCACCCCCAGGTCAACCTCTCAGCCGCCGCGCCGACACCCCGGCCGACACCGCCACGACAAATGCACCACTCTCATGAGCCGGCTCCACAGCCAGGACAATCGACACCAGAACCAGAACCGAAGCCAAAACCAATTACAATGGTGCTTGAGGGGCCAGCCTTGGCTGGTGCATTGCCCAAACCCGTCCGAGAACCCCAGAACAACTCGCCGTCGATGGACATCCTCATCGTGGAGGACAACCTCGTGAACCAAAAGGTCCTACAACGACAGCTCCAGCGGTCAGGAAACAACACCCGCGTCGCCAACCACGGCGGCGAAGCTCTCATCGAGCTCAGCAAATCCCGTTTTTGGAACAAGGTAGCGGCCGCAGCAGAAAACGAGCACCCACCTCCCCCGCAAAGACAAGACTCTGAGATTCTTCCTGATGGTATGGGAGACGTGAAAATGGCCGACGAGGAGGACGAGGACAATGAGGACGACAAGGGCGAGCGCAACATATCGGTCATTCTGATGGACCTCGAAATGCCCGTCATGGACGGCATGTCGTGCACGAGGGAGATTAGGCGGCTGGAGAGAAAGGGGGTGCTGACGGGTCATGTGCCGATTATTGCGGTGACGGCTTATGCGCGGCCGGAGCAGATCGAGAATGCAAAGGCCGCTGGTGTTGTAAGTTTTTTTTTTCTTTCATTTTTTTCTTTTTCTCTGTGAGTATCGATGCTGATAAGAAAACAACAACAGGACGACGTAATATCAAAGCCGTTCCGCCTGCAAGAGTTGCTGCCAAAGATCGAGGAGCTGGTGGCAAAGTACAAGACTTTGTCTTGTGAGGCTTAATTGTTGTTAATGATGATATAAAAAATGGGACGGATGGATGATTCCGGGATATTGTTTTTACGTTTGTGATTGGGATGGGGCGGGAAAGGGGCAAATGATATATGATACCTACCTTTTTTTGCGGCTCAAGTTTTTTTTTCTTTTTTGGAAGGATGGGAGGAAAGGAGTAGGAGGGAGGGTGAATTTGGTTTACAGCGTTTCTTTTCTTTTGAGGCATAATTCTATTTTTTACCATTTTGGAGACAAGGTTTTTTTTTTTTTTTTTTTTTGAGGTTTTGTTGGGTCTTATGCTGGGGAGGAGAGGAGAGAGACGGTTGGAGGATGATGATGTGTCGCGCTTTTATTTCTTGCAAGATGGTGGGAAAAGACTAAACGGGGGAGGGTAGGGATTATAGTTGTGCTCGGATTTTGCACATAAGTCATGAACGGAGTGGAAGCCAAGTGGTAATGTTGGTTGGGTCTTTTGTACTGGGCCTGGTTTTCTGGATAGTACCAGCAGGCATGCAATGGGATCTGGTTGGGTGTGGACAGACAGCTGGGCAGGGGTTGGCTTCTTGGATGCCTATGATACTTATCATATGCAGAGTAATTGGAAAGAAAAGGGATTAATTAGTGTAATGGGGTGTTTTGGTGTTGTTTACTTCATGTGATGAGATACCCAGAGAAGTTGGGCTATGAGATAGAAGAGAGACATTTTCTAACTTTGAATTGACATGTAACGTATCTTCAAGAGTGTGGTGAGATAAACATGGAAAGTGCCATACACAAAACAAGCACATGTCCCAAAGAACCAAGGCAGCAAAGAAACAGGAGATAGAGACGAACTCAGCACGCGAGAGGTATATTAATTAGCTATTAAAAAAGTGTTCATACTCTTAAACTCCCATTCCCATCCTGCACTCTCCCCCGCAAAGCCGCCCCTTATTCAAGACAGCCCAGACACAAAGGCGCAGTAAGAAACAAGAGACAGAATAAATTCTCCGCTCCACCACCACCACCACACCACATGCTCATCCGTCATCGTGCACATCCATCATCACACACACACCAACAAACACGAAACCAACAACCACACCAAGACCAAATCCACTCACACAATCCACCACACTGTAGTGTGTGCACACTCTCCCCTTTTTAGCCCACCTCATCATCCCTCCCACAAACCTCCTTTGCTTTCCCTTGCATGACCCAGAAAAGCCAATAAACAGACGACTGACTTGATGCGGACCGAAAGGGGGGGTATACTTTGGGTATCAAAAAGAGAAAATAACAGGAAAAACTCTGACTGCGCGCGCAACATCATCCAGTGGGAAAACACCAAAGCCAAAAACAAAAACGAGCAAAGCAAGCAGTAAAAAAAAAAGACGGGAGGTGATCAAGATCGAGTCCTATCTGAGCAATAGGGCCACGGCAAAGAAAGCGTGCCACGGACCAAGTGATTGTTGACAGCCAGATGGAGTTTCAGTCCTGACGGGTATCTTGACTCTGAAATGCAGATCCGTTTCCGACAAAACCCAAGGGTATAAGGGGGTGTGTTGTGTGTATTAAATATCTCTCAGCGAGGGGGGTTGCGTGTGATGGAATGATTATGCGGTGGTCATTCATGAATGTTCGCTCTATGTTTTCGTGGTTTCGTTTCCATACGTCTTTCACCGACATTGAGATTGCTCGAGGGGAATACGCCTCGTTCTCTAAGCAGTGGCGGTGACGACAGGCGCGGCCTCGGCGGGCTTGGGCTTCTCCTCCTCGGCAGCAACGACGGGGGCAGCAACCTCAGCGGTCTCGGCAGGCTTGACAGCCTCCTCCTCCTTCTTCTCCTCGGCCTTGTCCTCAGCCTTCTCCTCGGCGACAGCCTCGGTAGCGGCAGGGGTCTCCTCCTTCTTCTCCTCGACCTTGTCGGCCTTGCCCTTGCCCTTGATGGTGGCGCGGAACTTGGAGAAGGCAGAAGGGGACTTGACCTTCTCGCCCTCCTCGTCAGAGGAAGCAGACTCCTTCTTCTTGCCGAGGCCGAAGGGAGAGAGCTCTTGCGCTTGTCGCTCTTAACGGCAGGTCTGGTCTCGCCGTTGGTCTCGGCAGGAGCAGCAGCAACCTCAGTGGTCTCAGTGGGAACGTTGGCAGGGGAAGAGACCTCAGCAGAGAGGGGCTCAGTGGTCTCAACGGCGGGGATCACAGGGGCAGTCTCGGCAACGGCCTCGGTGGCAGCAGGGGTCTCCTTGACGGGAGCCTCAGCAACAGGAGCAGCCTTCTTCTTGCCGAAGGGGAGGCTGCCAAAGATGCTGGAGCGCTTGGTAGGGACAGCAGGGCGGGCCTCAGCGACCTCCTCCTTCTTCTCCTCAGCCTTCTCCTCGGGCTTGGCCTCAGTGGCCGCAGCCTCAGTGGTGGCAGGGGCAGCCTCGGTGGTGGTCTCAGCCACGGGGGCAGCCTCGACAGCGGGAGCAACCTCAGCAGCAAGAGCCTCGGTGGCAGCGGGGGCCTCGGTAGCGGCGGGCTCCTCAGCAGTGGCAGCGGGAGTCTCAGCAGTAGGCTCGGCGGCCTTCTTCTCCTCCTTCTTGCCGAGGAGGCTGCCGAAGATGGAAGTGCGCTTGCGGCTGGCGGAGCGACGCTTGGGCTCCTCCTTCTTGACCTCCTCGTTCTTCTCCTCCTCCTTGACCTCCTCCTTGGGGGTCTCGACGGCAGCGGCCTCAACAGGAGCCTCGGCAACGGCGGCGGCGGCCTCCTCAGTGGTGGCAGCAGGGGCAACCTCAGCGGCGGGCTCAGCAGCCTTTTCCTCCTTCTTGACGGGGGCAGGCTTGAAGCTCTCAAGGGTCTTCTTGTAGGTCTCAGATTCGGTGACAGTGGCGGCAAGCTCCTTGGCCTCGGCAATCTTGGCCTTCAGCTGGGCAACCCAGTTGTCACGGTCAGCGGCAGTGGGGGCCTTGAAGGTGTGCTTGTGGCCCTTGGAAGAGAAGTGGAACTTGTTGGTGCCATCGACAACGGGCTCAGTAGCCTCAGCCTGTAATTTTCTGTTAGGATTTGAAACATTTTGAATCGGACATTGAACAGACGTACAAGCTGGATAGCGCCGTTGGGAGCAGCCTTGTCACCCTTCTCGCTGTAGAAAAGGAGACCCTTGCCGGTCTCGGCAGCCCACGAGGCAACGTGATGGGCGACATCAGCGGCCTTCTCAGCCTTGAAGCTGGCGATCTCCTTGACATTGACGGGCTCAGAGCCAAACCAGAACAGGGTCTTGGTGTAGAGGAAGTTCCTAATCGAGGATGTTAGTCACTGATGACTCGAGAACTGTCGAGTCTGGCGTGATGCTGAAACGTACTTGGGGAAGTTGGCGCCCTGGCCCTTGTGCTCGAGGTGGCCCTCCTCAACAGGCTTGACCTCCTCCTTCTTGGCCTCCTCGGCCTCGGCAGCGGGAGCCTCAGCGGCGACCTCAGTCTCGGTGGCGGCGGCAGGGGTAGCCTCGACAGCAGGAGCAGTCTCGGAAACCTCAGCAACGTCGGGGGTGGCCTCAGCGGGCTTCGTCTCGACAACGGGCTCGGCGACAGGAGCGGTGGTCGCAGGGACCTCAACGGGCTTTGTTGTGTCGGCCATTTTTGATTGTGTGATGGGTGGTTGCAAAAAGCAGGGTATCTGGGTATCTCAAGAAAAAAGAAAAAATGGGTATCGGGTATCACTGAGAGAGAAGACTTCGCAAGAAATATTAAGCACGCGTGGCCTGCACTGGTCTGGACGAGGCAGAAAAACTCGTCGAGTCGAGGTGTTGGCTGGTGGGTGGAAGGAGAGAAGGAGAGAGAGGAGAATGGAAAGGCGAGCCGTGTGATGGTTCCTGGGGGTACTTATTTCGGAACTGGCAGTCGGTCGTGCTCTGTGTAGGGAAACGGTAGGACTCTTGTGCGATCCGTCCGCTCTTCTCTCACCCCCCAGTCCCCCCCCCCCCCAATCGCCCCCATCAGGTCCAGTGACTCCAGTCACAGTGAATGGTCCGTTTCCCCTGGCCAGACCCAAAGCGGAAGCAACACTGTGCGACAACCCTTGCCCTCTCGCTGCCCTCGCTCCCTGACCAGCTGCTGGGCAGACAAAGAAAGGCACACCGTCTTATCCAAAACGATGCTCAGTTGCTGGGAGACACGAAATTGCTTCAAACCGTTATTAGACAGGGATCCAGTTTTCCCTTTTTTTCCCCTTTGCACACGCGCCTACTGCAGCCACCAAGAGCTCTCAAGGTCCATGGTCCACATTCGCTGCATCTTCACTGGCCAGTGCGCTTCTGGGGTCCTGGTCAGCCATGCAGGAGGTACTTTGGCGACAAGTACCGACATGTCGTTTCTGTGCCAGGGAGCCCGCTGCAGGACACCATTGAACCCGCCTGATTTGCATCACGAACCGCCTGAGGGAGTCTCCTGCGCATTGAAGGGGTGACTTGCTGTTGCGGTATCCCTCCCTGAACATGTCCCGTTCTCCAGGCTTGTCGATCAGGGCCTTGCGTCTGGACACTGGCATCCATCCACGACCTCACCTCGTCAGCCAGCCCCTATTCCCACGTCAACACCCACCGCCTAAACAGAGATTTTCCTCTTGTCCCTCCGCTGTAGGTGGGTATCTCTCAAGAACAGTCAGAGCTGCCAAGTTGTCTCCGTTTTCACTTCAAAAGTCAACGATAGCGGTCCTGTAATTTGACCATCACAAAAGAAGGGTTCGCACGTTGCAAAGCGGGGCGTTTACCGCTTGCCGTCTGCCAGAGCTCCACTCCCGTAAAATTTGGTGCCGACGTTATGAGAACGTAATCAACCATGGCCCCACCCATTCCCACTCACCTTTTCACTAGCCCATGCTCACGCCCCAGATGGCGTTCGCGCTGCTCCACATGACATCTGCCCGTTCGGACGACACCACAACCTCGACGAAACATTTCAGCGACTCCTTAAAAGGGGGCTCACTCCCTCACTGCAGCTTCCTGGTGTCGGAGTGCCTTGGCGCCTCTTGTTGGTGATGACCTCGGAAGCCTCTGATTGTTGTGAAGCAGCAGCTCTGGAATGTGAGAGGTGCAAAGAAACTTTTATGCTCCAGCGTCAGATCATCTTGACAGCCTTGGCCCCACTGCTGCCGCGCATCGCACATGGTCAGGGACCCAAAAGCTGGACACTAGTTTCAAATTCGCTGCATCGATGAACCTGGCACTTTAAACATCTCGACGTTGACCTCGACAATAAGTGGATGGTATTGCGCCACCAGGCATTTACGCATGGGTAAGATCTACATTTTCTATATAAGACCATTAATACTGCGGATTTATATTATAGATATTTACTTTTTACATTAAATTAAATAAAACGCCTTTGTATTATTTAAGTCAAAAATTTATATATTTTTATAATTTATCGAAGTTTTTGTTAACTTTAGCTTTTACGTTTAATAATATCGATAATAATAATAAATTTATTATTAAGATTCATTTTAACTTTTTTCATTGATTAATTATATTACTTTTTTTGGATATTTTTGCTTTAACTTTAAAAAAAATAATTGTTATTATTTTTTATTTATAGACTTTATTAATTTTTTAAACTTAATTTTAATTACAAAGTTCCGTTTTAACATAATCTGAAATTTCGTTTTTACCTTACGTAAAAATTTATATATATTTTAAAATGATTATAATATAATTATGGTTTTGTATAGAACTTAAATTAAAAAAATATTTATAATGCATTTTATATATAAGTACTTACTTTGAATATTTCATTATTTCTTAATATATATTATATAGTCCCTAATTTTATTAGATACCTTTAAAAATTATATTGATAAAAAAAATTTTACTGAAAAACGTTGTAGATTTATTTTTAAAAGATTAAAATTAAAATGTTAGAAAGTTTTAAAAAAAATACATAAACTATAAGTAAAATTTTTTTCTATAAATATAATATTTTTATACGAACTCGTTAATTTCATTACAGCTATAATCATTAATTATTAATGATTGTTTTAAAAATAGTAATATTAATGATATAAACTTTAATTAGTAGATGTGACGAACCCTGTACAGAACCTCTGAAAGGGATACTGGTTGAAGGTAACTTCTGACAATTGGTTCGGTGCAGCTAAACAGTGCACAACAAGATGTCTCGATGTAAACACAAGATGCCGTGAATACAACTGTGAATTGCATACTGCGGAACTGTCTATCTACACCAGCCAGTTCCTCCGTATATATAGATCCTGGGGCCCTGAGGTGCTCGCCTTGCTACGGCCCCGATTACCCATAGCACATTGCATCCTGCAAAGTGCTCGTCGTGCTATGCCTTTGATCACTCGTAGCATCTTGCATCCTGCAGAGTGCTCGTGTGTCTTGGCGCCATAGCACTTTCGTCCAGCCCTGATTGGCTGTCTCCTGACTTCTCTAATGATTGGCTAGGGACGTCCTGCGCCCCACATGTGGCGCGGCCTGCTGTTGGGTTAACTGTGACATAAATATTTAAATTTCAGGCAAATAATTAGTATATATAAAAAAATTTCAAAATTTAGTTTTCGATATTACCTTTATTAATAGTAGTGATTAACAAAGTAACGAACTTAATTATAAAGTATAAAAACTTTTAAGGTTTTTTTTAAAGCAATAATTTACTTTATTAAATATTTTTCAAAATTAATAAAAGCTTTTGAAATACATTTTTATAATATATTTCCTAGACTTTTTTCTATTGATCAATACGCAATTATATAATAAAGATAAAAATATTTTTCAATAATATATATGTTAGCTGGTAAGCCCTGATAGGCCTATAATATAGAACCTATACAGGGTTGCTGTAAAATACAGCAGTGCGCAAGCGGAAGCGGGAGGATACGACGGCAGTGCCGAAGGAAGGTAAAGCACTGTAATACAGTGAGGTATAAAGAATAAGAATTGCCTTTATTACCCTTGGCCTTGGCCTTTGGCCTTAGCCTTAAGCTTTTGCCCTTAAGGAAAGAAAGAAAACTATTCTACAGGAGAGAGGAGAGGTCTATATATAGGCCTTCGTAGGCCTACTGTGGGTCCTGTAGGCCCTGGAAGCCCCTATACCACATTAGGTATTTAGTGGGCTTAGGTGGGTCTAGTGTAGACTTATGGAAATCTATAGAACCTTCAGTAGCAAAGGTGCCCTGTAAATCACACCATTGTGGCAACTTACTACGTAAGCCTGTAGCCACTTTGGAAGGTTCTAGTATCCATTGACTAAGCCTCAGGCCACAGTAGCCCTGTAAGCCTTCAAGGGTCCCTTGTAAAGGATATTCTAAAGGGATCCAAGCCGGGAAGTTCCATTACTGCTTATAGCAGTACTGCCCACTGTAATATCAATCTGTAGGGCAGTAAGTAGGGCACTTAGTAGTACCTACACATTAACAATATAAAAGTATTATGAAAATCTTTTACTTCTAACAATTTAAATAATATATATAAAGTTAGATTTTTTTTTATAAAAAAAATAAACTAGAAAAATAAATAAATAAGAACTAGGTAGTTAAATTATTTTATATATATAAAGTGTTAATGCTAAAGCGGGATATAGCGTAAGTGGCTAGTAGAGTAATAGGGTGGTAAGCTCACTTAACGACCACAACAATAACAAGTAGCTTCTTCTTCTCTTTATTGTTGGCCATGCATTGTGATGCTCAGTTGGGCCGATATTCCTATCAATATTTTTTCTGTGGTTTTCCGTCCCCTGTCTTCGGCAGCCAAATCGAGCGATGAGGTTCAAGCAATATCCACGCCAACAGCAGGGGTTCACGGGTGGGGGAAAAGCAGCCTCAACATCGGCAAGCCGAAGCCGCTCCAGTGGCGTCTTGTCAGTCGTGGGGTTACCACGGTAGGGCCATCACCGCCTTGACCGCTTTTCTGACATCGCGACGGCGGCTCGATTTCGAGATTTCATCGGTTAGTGAGGTCCTCACACCCTCTGGGCTATCCTCAAGCAACAGGATGGCAAAAGTTGAGCTTCATGTCGACGCAATGCCGCCGCCCCCTCCTCGTGGCCTGACTGGCAGCCCCTCTGTCCAACCAGTGTCGTTCTTCAGACTCAGAGAAACCACCGGGCGTTTCCACACATGCAACCACCTCGAAGGGCGCATGATTCTTCATGGTCGCACACAAGCTTGCAGCGTGCAGCTTGCCCGGGTGGGGCCGTGTCTGAACTGAACACCTTCTTGTGGCCATCAGTGGATCGCGAACACAAGCCGTGCCACTCCCCTTTTCCAACATCACCCAAAACAGACGGCTACAGGATATCTGATTCGTCTGTTGAATATGGCGTCTGGCACGACTTGCAAGAAAATAGATTGAGCACAGCCAAATGTGTTGTGGAAAAAAAGGGAAATAGGCGTGCCGTTTGGCGATTTTAATCCCGATGGGCTTCTACTACGGCCGCGAGAATTACGTCAAAGCCTCGCTGGGCGTTGCAAACCGGACTTCCACAAAAATACGATTTTTTTTTGGCGAGCGAGACCGCTCGGGCCAGTATCGCGGTAATCAGGGCTATATATCTATGTAGATTATGTTTGTACGTTGAAAGTTGCTGGTAATTTATTTAAAAAAGTAAAAATACAGTTTCTAT